GGAGCCACCACGGCTGATTCCCACTACAACAGCAGCGACGACTACAGCGACAGAGCCGACTCCAAACACTCGTAAATGAGTTCTAAATACTCTGAAAAAGCCTTAATCTATTAAAGCTTCATAAACGACAAAAAATATCAAAAATTTACGAATTTGCAGAAAAAACTGCAGTAACTTCATCAGATACAAGAACTACAAAAAAAAACACAAACCACTCTTAATACGACTGTGCCAGCGACAACATCAACGACTACAACATATCCAACTTCCTCTCCGCAGAGCACTGGTAAGAAATTTGTTTGTCTGACACAGAATACCAGCTGAAGATGACATAAATTCGCAAACTGTAAACGAACAATTAAACAAAAAGAAAAGATAGAAAAAAAAAAAAAATGGAAAAACGGTTTTTTGCTAAAAACCTCTGTAACTGCCATCTTGGAGCACGGTAGGTTTCAGCTGCCAAACTTGTAATCACTAATCTCAGTTTTCACTCACTCAAAATATGCCAACTAAGATTGCATCATTCATTTCAAAAGCCGAAAAAGAAGGACGAGTTTGCTCACTAATGGCAGTTCAATATCGGCTGTCAGTGAGTCATCTCAATCAAGTTCAAATCACTCCATAAAATTTCTGCTCCGCACTTTGCTCATTCTCAGAACTATCTGTTTTTTTCTGCATAAAATCTACGCAAGAAAAAAAAAGAAAAAGAAAACAAAAAAATTAAGTTTTGTGACTAACCACCTATCTCAGATTTCAGACGGATAACTACTGCAAAAAGCCTATTCAAATTAAAAGATCAAATAAGGAAAAAAACTCATGTTAGCTCAAAGCTAATTAAAAGTATATAGTTATTTGCTGCGCAAGATATTCTCTGAGGTTAATAGAAATAGCCGGACAACTGGTACTGTGTGACTCACGATACAGCACAAAAAGGTTTTTTCAAAACCGTAGAAAGTATTCTCCAAAAATCGTAGTCTCTATAGAATGCCTCTACAAACAAAGTGCATTTAGAAAGTATTAAACCAAGACAACGAGTGGTAAAGCATAACTATAAGAATTTTGTACCAAAGTTCTTGACGCGGTTTAATTGCCGCATTTTAATAAAAAGAAAGATTTGTTAAAGAGGTTTTTTTTATATTTCATGCAACTTTGAGCACAAGTTTCTTTTTGTTGTGGTGTCTACGACCAGGCAAAGTTTTCCTAATGCAAGCGAAGTGGACACATAAGCATTTTTTGTTTTTATTTGAAATACTAAAAGGGGCTTTATACCTTATACGTTCTTTAAATCGTTTTTCTTTTCCTGGAGAATTATAACAGGAAGGTGCAAACTTATGCTTTACTGTCATTTTTATTATCTAAAAAGCTCACCTGTAGCAGTATATGCGACTATGCACTATGCGACTCTTTCTTTTTTTCCTTTGTAAAGCCAACCATATTGAAAAGAAAATATTTAAATAAAGGCTTTCAGAAAACGAAAGTTACAAAAGTTTACAGTTCCGT